CTAGATGACCCGACAGACGTTGTCCTGTACCCATGTCTACAATTTCTTGAAGATGATAGTTTTCATTTGTTTTTAATGCTTACAATGACATGTCGTTTTTTACAATTTATTTCTACAATATTGCACATACATCCCAGTACTTTATAATCACATATATCCTAGAAAATTTCCTTAATAAACTTCAGAAAGATTTATCAAAATTCGAATAGTCGTTTAGGAGGAGTATACATTCCGTGTTTGTAATTTAATATGAACTTTATATAATAGCAATAAAGCTCAAATTGAGTGTAAGTTTTAGTTAGAAAACGTTTGTATGTGAAAAATAAAAGGGCTGTTTTTAGGGTTTTCCCAGCAATTATTCGATCTTTTCTTGCCGTAAGAACCATCCTTGGACTTCAACGAACATTTTAAAAAAAGAATTGGCCAAATTGTTCCAGGCGTTGTTGAGTTATGCGCTTACCAACACATTTTGCGATCCATTTTTATATATAAGATATTCAAGAATGCATCAAAAATATGTTTTTATTTCTTGAGCACTGAAGAGTGTGTAGGCAACATCCTGTTCATTTGTAAATAATATTTATAATTTAAAAAAAAAAAAAAAATTATAATTTTGATAAAATTTTTAATATAGTATAATTTTTGCAATTAACTTAAACCTAAATAAATTTCATAAGTTAAGGGTAACACATTATTTTGCTATTATTTGTTTATAATAAATTTATCTGTTAATGTTAAATGAATTTTTTATTTTCATAAATTCTAGAGAGAAGTATATTTTTGTCAAAAAATCCGATTTAAGTTTTGTTTTTACTTTTTACAACATTCTGACAGCACCAAATTTGGAAAAAAACTAGTTTTTGTCATCATAGTCCAGTCATTTGGTCGTTTTGCCGGTACAGTACTCCGGGAATTCTGAAAATTGGTAATTTAATAGATTTCGAGGTGCTCTTTACGAAAATCAACTTTGCCACCTCAGATTTGAACGGCAAGTTGCCGCCATATTGAAAAAATGGCGTCAAAAAACAGCTTTTTTAAAATATCTCCTTTCTGGCTGATTCTGCGATAAAAGTATCTATGTACGAATTAAACTAGATAAAATTTCCTACAATTCTTTAGAAAACCGTTTTTTATTTGTAAAATTGATAGTTTGAGAGTACGGCCGCCTCAAAGTCTTTGCTGCTCTCATCGTAGTATCAAATCTGTCCATATATGACAGCTCTTCGAACTTGACCACATTCTCTCTAATAATTAATATTTTCAATGTTAAATTAAGCGAATAAGATCTAGAAATAGAATAATTCAAATATTTTTCTGTTTTTTTGCTGATTTTTTAACGCTTCAAGCTACTTGACGCTATAAGGTGCTACTCAAGCTATAAGTATATTTATATCTTTTTTGCCTTTGAAGTGTTAAAAAATTAGCAAAAAAAAAAACGAAAAATATCTGAATTATTTTATTTCTAGATCTTATTCGCTTAATTTAACATTGAAAATATTAATTATTAGAGAGAATGTGGTCAAGTTCGAAGTGCTGTCATATATGGACAGATTTGATACTACGGCGAGAGCAGCAAAGACTTTGTGGCGGCCGTACTCTCAAACTATCAATTTTACAAAAAAACGGTTTTCTAAAGAATTGTAGGAAATTTTCTCTAGTTTAATTCGTACATAGATACTTTTATCGCAGAATCAGCCAGAAAGGAGATATTTTAAAAAAGCTGTTTTTTGACGCCATTTTTTCAATATGGCGGCAACTTGCCGTTCAAATCTGAGGTGGCAAAGTTGATTTTCGTAAAGAGCACCTCGAAATCTATTAAATTACCAATTTTCAGAATTCCCGGAGTACTGTACCGGCAACAGCCTTTTTTTGCACCAAATGACTGGACTATCAATCCTGAACCGATTTTGAAAATTCTTCGAAACGACGTTTCTTCGAAATATTTGTTAAAAACTTTTTTGAAGACTTTGAATAGCCATAGAGTTCGAAATAAAAGGTCATCGATATTTTCGAAGAATTCAAATTTTGAAGCGTACCATTCGAAATTCTTACATATTTTGAAAAAAATCGAATTTTAAAATCATATTCATTTTAAAATAATTCAAACTTAAGAGGCTTTGATATTTTCAAAATATTCAAACTTCAAAGTTTTAGATATATTTTAAAAATATTCAAATTTGTCTTCACAATTCAAATGCCTTCGATATTTTCCAAAAATTCAAATTTCAAAATATTTAGCATTTTTAAAAAATTAAAATGCTAATGTCTCAAAATTAGATATTTTTAAAAAATCTTATTTTAAGACTTTGATATTTTCAAAAATTTCGAACTTTTAAAAAATTCGACAAAATCGAAAATAAAGAATTCTCAGATTTTCCACTTCAGAATTCTTAATTAAAGTATTAATTTAAATATGATTTCAAAAAATGGCTAATTAACTAAAAAAATCAATCTAATGTTATGTATATTTAAAAATCAATTTTGCAAAATATTCATTTCAGTATAAACGCATATTTCAATTTGTTGTTTTTTTTCATATATTTGAATTTTACAAATTTTTTGAATAGTTGTAAATTTCCTCTTAAAACGACACTATTCACTTTTGTTTATAAATGCTGATTAACAAGACAAATACCAACAATTCTATTTCCTGGCAAATTCAATATTTCGAAATGCATTCTATCGAAAAGTTTATAAATAATTCCACGATAGAAAATTTCATTCTGAAGATAATAGATCTTATTTATTAATAAGAGACACACGAAATCATTTATCAACAATCATTCCAAAATAGTGCATTTTTGAGTTTTAAAAAATAAAACAAAAAAAATCTAAAAATTTCAAGAATTTAATTCGTTTTTAATTAATTCCTTTAATCTCAAACAAAGCATGAGAAGTATAATCGCGCCGACAAAATATTTACACATATCACTGCTACCGTATCGTCTGAAATAATTCACCAATCCTTTTATCTCTCTTTCGCACTTGCGTGAAATTCGTTTTAAGTGTGGGAAAGAGATATGTGAAGTCGACGAAGCGCGACCAAAGGTGTTCAAGAGTGCGGAAAAACGCTTCATTTTGTAATTAAACACGACTTTTATTTCAACATCTGAATGTTTAGTCGGCAGGAAATTAATTTTAATGCAGAATTCACTGAATTTATAGAACTTGATGATCAGAAATATGAAGCAGTAAGTAGTAATCCAGAAATAAACTAGTGGTGCAAGGCATCGTGCTTTAAGACAAACTGAAGTTCCTGTACCGTAGCGTAAATAAATATTAGAGAAATATTAAATATTTCAAATAAATTATTATAAAACTTGTAACTTTAATTATTCGTATTTTATGGACGAAATATAAGAGCGTATAAATTGGAGGGCGACGTTTATATATGCTTATATTAAAAGTGAATGAACAAAACTTGATAAAGCAAAGTTAAAATGAGAGATGTTATCTCAAATTGCTAAAAATTTTATAAACAGAATTGCAAAGTTAAAATTATATATTTTTAATTAAAAAAAAAACTTGCCTTCCCCAATAAACGTTTTTTGAATCAATCAAATCAGATGCTTCCTTCTCTCAAAAACTACAATTTACATTTAGTTTAGTATCTGGGAAACCTGTCATTGCCAAAAGCTATCAGCATGTCTCCCCATCAGTAGAAATCGAATATTTTTTGAATTATTCAAATCGGTTGATCGCTCCGTGTGCTCGAAATCGTGGGCGAAAATACGCACATACACACCATTTTTTTAAAGGAATGCCAGTATGTTCAGAAACCTTAGAAACGTGAAGATTTGCAAGAAATTTCAATTTTTGGACGATTACCTTACCCTTACCCTACTGGAAGTTTATTGACCAATTGACAATATTTCAGTGTCAAAAATAGTTTACAAAATTTGGATCGATTTTGATGTCAATTCGATTAGAGCAAACAAAAGGTGATTTTGCAAGAAGTTTTTGCACTTGTATGCAGACAATTTAGAATATTGATTACTATTATTACCGGAATCGATTTCTCTCGATTGTATCAAAATTTACATGGAAATCCTTCTATAATAGGTCATGAAATTCATTAGCGGGTCAATTGAGTATGTGGTTACGTAAATGAGAATATTGCAAGATGCAAATTGCGAGACATACCAGTTTGCGAAAAAAGATTGTTATATTGACATAAAACTGAATTTAATATATTGAACATGCGGTGAAGCAGGTTTTCTTACTTGCAAATTGATAATAATTATTGTGCGAGCAATACCTTTTGCGCTCATGCTTGATTTCAGAAGTTCCAGAATTCATACCCGCCTGAGATCAAGCTTTAGTGGCATCAAATTTTACTTGAAAATATTTTTATCATATCTTGAAAGCAATCAGAATCTTACGTCCTAGGAGCTGTTGGGCTGCAACTTCTCCTTACTACGTATTTTTATGTGGTAACCCAACGGTTAATCCATCCATATTTGATCATTATATTATTAGAATTTATCTAATAGGGCTGATTTTTTATAGGTGCAGCAATGCCGGGCAAGTGCTATTTTCACTTAGAAACATATTGCTATCTAAATTTCCAAATGAAAATCTTTGTCACTGCTGCCTGACAGCACGCTGGTCGAAGTGGGTATCGAACCTGTGACCCACTTGAAAATGTAGATAGCAAAATGTTTCCAAGTAAAAAGGTTCTTGCACGGCATTGCGGCATCAAAAGAAATTGTAATAGCAATGTCATTAAATAGAAATAGGACAACCGTTGGGTTGTCATCTATAAAAACTGACGTAGTTAGCTAAGTCAATTTATTACAACAGCTTATAGGACCCTTCAGTTATGATCGCTGTTGAAGTAATAAAAAGAAATCCTTGATTTTCTATGCAATTTTTATGTATAATCGTTACATGATAATATTTGATGAAACAAAATAATTAAAATTCGATTTTCTGAAGATAAGTGCTTGATGCGAGCAACGACCATTTTAATGCATTATTCAAAATCCATTACTATTGAGATGAATTATATTGATTATGTTGATGGACTTCCTGGTGGTGATGATCTTGATGCCAGTGTGATGATGCTTTTGATAATTCATTTGGTGATGGTAGTGTTGATGAGTGATGGTGAGGTAATAGTGGAATAGAAGGTGAGGTAATTAAGGGAGATTATTGATGGTAAAAATATTATGGTGTTTATTGTGATGATGGTTCTTATCATGATTATGGTCTTAATGGTGACAATAGTCTTAATGACGATGATCGTCTTGATGATGACAAGGGTTAGGATTATGATGATACTTAGTCTCGATCCAAATGTACCATTCAACTAATTTTTCTCTATAATCAATATTCTCGCAATCTCAACTTTTTTAGAACAAAAATTGTCCGATCGATCTAATATAGTTAATTTCAACTAACAAATGCATTTCAGAATCTTCATATACGTTTTCATACCCAATTGATATCAATATTCCAAGTTACTATTGCATTGTGTATTGTTATTATTATTAGTTCTAAAAGTGATTTCATGCGAAACAAGATTTTCACTAAAGAATAAACTGATTTTTTTACTCAAACTAATTATTTTTATAAATGCTGTCTGTATGGGTTCTGAAGAAAAAAAAGTGGTGAAGACAAAATAGACCATCAAAGACAGAAATCAGGTGGAGCAGAAAGTATAAAAGAAAAAATTCTACTGGGTGCGATTCTGAGACAAACAGAGAATATTGGATTGGAACGATTCCAAGAAAATGTCAGCCGCATAGTGCTATTGAAGAAAAAATAGAAGAAATTTGGAACTGACTAGAAGATTACAAATATACAATTTGCATTAGAATACAAATACAGAAAAAGGAGAGTTGATACGCAAGACAGATAATTTATATATATATATATATATATATATATATATAAATTTAATTACTATCTGTCACACTTAGGACATTCAGTAATTGTTTTGACTTCTCTTATTATATGAATCTTGAATGGATGGCAACCCAGTAGTTGTCCAGTTCAGTTATGACCAATTATCTATACTCGAAGTATTTGCTGATATTTTTTATTATATATGCAACTATACTCACGAGAGGCGATTTTCACTTGAGGCTAAATTTGAGATCTATAACCTCAAGTGGAAATTTGACATCAAAGTTGCCTGATGTCGGGCTTGGCGGTAGCGGGAGACAGATAAATTGATAAAATTCCTTCAAGAGAAAATGAAAATGGATATAGGATATTTTTTTGACAAAGGACTACTTGCTATTGTGATAACTATAATAACAGTAATGATAAGCATTAAACTATTTACCATACTTTGCCTAAGATCTGCCTTAGGATTCAATTCAGCCGTATTTTGTAATTTAAGTGAAATGTGCCATTAGGCATGGTTTCACTGACATAATTATTTTTCTATTACTATACATCATTATTAATAATTTTCAATGAAAATATCTCGATCTGCCATAATATAAGTCGCACAACAAGATTGATGGACTCTAATTGGAATCTAATTTCTATAGCAGTTCACACTATAAAATACATATACAATGTATATACTATATATATATTTATATATATATATATATATATATGCATATTTAACCTATTTTTGAAATCTTATGAATTATAGTTGATGCAAAGCAACGTTTCGCAAAATCACAATTTCTAATAATGAAAATAACAAAACAGAAACTCTGTTATTAAAGAAGTTTTCGTATCATACGTCAAGTTCTCTATAATACATCCATCACTCAAAGGATTTCGTATTCATCTGACCATTAAATCAAAAAGGTGTCAAAATCAGGATTAATGGACACCAATTGGAATCTTGCGTGTAAATTGAAAATTAGTTATGAGCGAGTGGAAATTTGTTGTTGAGGTTTCTGCAGGATTTGGTCTAATTTCCAAATTTGAATTTGGTTTGACTTTACCAAAAATAGTGATTTGCTAATTTGGATTTCTCGACATTTGAGGTAGTTCTGAATCGTTTGACATCAAAATTGAAAAAAGAATGTGTAGCTATTTGTGTATGCGATCTAAATTTGGGCTTTTTATCGTCGTTTTCTCAAAAACGACTGAAGAGATGACATAATTTTAAAAGTTATTCGATAAAATTCGTTGTATAGCCGATTGGCGTATAATCAATAAATAAATAAATAAAATTCGTTAAGGATATTTTATTCGTTATCAAGGATCAGCTCTTCTAAAGATATCAGTTGAAAATCGTGCTGACACTTTTTTGGTAAAGTAAATTGTATATGACATTTCTTCTTCATTAAGTTATTTTTTTTGTTAGTGTAAGTTTTCAAAGCAAAATGCCACGTACATTTAGTTTATTTTTGCAAAGTTTGCAAAATTGCATACAAAATACAAAATAATATATAAGAGCGGAGCTTAAAGGTCCGGGGGTAAAAACATCCACCATCAATATCTCAAAAACATGTAAAGTTAAGAATTTTTTAACGACAATATTTGAAAGTAGAGGGCAAAACATGTATAATAAGCCACCACCTTGAAATTTACGACATCGCTATCGGGAGATGACCAACAATGTTTGAAAATCCATAATAAAAGTATTTTCTTTAGTTATTATTAGTTTTACTCTGGCAAAGGTGTAAATAAAAAAAGTAAATAAAACAATAAATTAAGTTAATAAAATCAATTTTACAGAAGATAAGTAAGTACTATGGAGCTAATTATTTCTGACAAAAAATACTAGATCAAGGTTGTATACAGTGTTATCTCAGTGAAAATTGTACCCATTAAATTTATATTCTGCATTGGTTGAAATTTGCTATTATTTCGTAAAATTTCTTTAAAATTAAAAACTAGTAATCTATGACATCGTGCCTTAAGGCAAATTGCTGGAACTTCCCGTACCGTAAAAAGGTTCGAGGAATATTAAATTTTTTCAAATTGATTATTTATTCTGTAACGTTGTCTTATATTTATAAGAATTATATAATCTGAATTACAAAGTTTAAATCATTAATTTAATGTATATAAGTGAGCTTTAAAACTTTAGCTAAAATTAAAATCTGAATTATTTTTGATATAAAAAAAATTTAAATGAAAATTTTTTTTTTTCCAAAAGCAATTGTTTTGTCAACACAAGAAGGTTTTTTGAATCCTTCAAATCGGATGCTTAGTTCTTTCAAAAACTGCATTTTTTGTACATTTAGTTCCGTATATTCGAAATGACTGGACCTGCCGTTGCCAAAGACTAATCGCCACTTTTCCTAATTATTACAAATTGAATGTTTTTTGGTTCATTCAAATTGGATACTCCGTTCTGTCAAAAACTCGATTTCTATTTGCTGCACTCTTTGCTCTCTATCTGCGAAACGGCTGGTGCTGCCTTTGCCAAAAATCAAACAGCACATCTCCCTATCAATAGGAATCGAATGTTTTTTTTAAAGCATCTAAATCGGTTAATCTGTACGCCTAAAAACGTGGACGAAAAATTGCGGACACACAAAACACATACACACACATCCATTTTTTTCTGAGGTATGCCAAAATGTTCAGAAACCTTTGAAACGTGAAGATATGCAGAAGTTTTCATATTCGATTTTCGGCCCATTACTATAACTTATTCTACGGGAAGTTAATAAAACATTGTTTCTGTTTGCCCGATGGCTGTACCTTTTTAGTCAGCCTATGGGGTAAAAAGGACCAGGTGACAAAATTTTGAAAAACATCAAAAAACAATTCTATGATGAATTATACAGATTTACAGAACGCTGTCAGATAGTTGTTTGTTTGGTATGTGTAATTTGCTTTGATATAATTGGTTTGGTTTTCACAATATAATTGCTCAAAGTCAAATTCGGCTTTTGTGCCTCGTCCTACCCTGTATACTACATAGTAAGTTTATATGTATGTATATTATTAGTAATACATATTGATGAATGAACGTATTTCTATGTATTATGTATGAATAGTTTTAAGTACTTATATGGTCGAGGAATGCCCCAGATAAAGTATCTGCTCTATTCTTGTCCATTAAAAAGCATTACTATATACTAACGAACTAACAAGTAATGGACAGTTATTTATCTGCAGTTGCGAATGGATGTCGCAATTGCATCGATACCACAAAGAGATATGCAAAAACATTATTATTCTAATATATGGCCGATTGATTGATTTGCACTATCGATAGATACAATATCACGATCGATTTATACAGGTACACATACACATTCTTAGGTTTATATATTTTCCCACATACGCAGATTTACAACCGTAGGAAATCATTGTTGCAAAGGCGAAGATTGTATTACAAATCGTAATTAAACACATTGTTGATCATGATGGAATATATTTTTTTGATCTTATAGCTTCTCGATAAGGGATTTACTTTCTGGAAACTTCTAATAGTCTGCATTAACCATATAAAAACTAGTGGTGTATGGCATCGTGCATTACGGCAAATTGCTGGAACTTTCTGTACCAGAATTATATATTCGGGGAAAAAATCAGTAATCAATAAGAATTGGTCAATGATTAACTGCAATTGTTTTATTCATTTTCAAATAGATAATTATAATCATTATGTATTTTATCGTTCATAAAATATGCAGTGACGATCTTATCGCTCAAAACACTTGAGAAAGTTTACATTAGCAAAAGGTGCCGAATCGATCCATCTGAGGATATATTTCTTACGATTGGAATAACTCATTTGAAATATATAGGGGGAAGTCCCCGAGTGGCGGACACCTAAGGTTATTTATAAATAAATCAAAAAATATTTTACGAAATGTTTATTAAATTATGATTTATGTTAGATAGCAAAGTTAGAAAGCAAACTAAATTAACAAAACCGCAATCTTTACTAAAAAATAATTAATACTATCAATCAAACTTTGCTGTAAAAAAATATGATTTTACCGGACATTTCAAAATAACTTGCATTGATCACATATGTAGCCATCTTCACGCTCTGGAATGTCTGTACATGTGTCTTTGACAAATATTCTTAGATATTGCAAAAAGGTCACTATTCATCCACCCTGTTGGCTGGGCCACACCGATGCTCTCAGCTGGTGCATTCATAAGGTTTTCATTCTTTGACTAGGAAATATAAAAAATGTGGGTATGTAGTAACCGTTAGCACTCAT